AGTGGACTGCATTCTGGTGAATCACCTCGAAGACGGCGACTGGTCCTCTGATGCACAGGTGTCAGCTCCCCAGGATCGACTCGCTTGTGGTCGGGGCTACGCTGTCTTGCGTTCGTAAGGCTTTGATTCATTACCCAGCACGTCCACCAGAAATGTAATGATGTTGAAGGACTCGGGGTGTAATAAAACGTATTTATTAAAGGGCGAACCTGTGCCCACAACTCAAAGGGACTATGGTCGTAACACGTTACAGCAGAACACCAAAGATGTCTCTTTCTTCTACTTCTTCAAGAGGAGTCTCAAGCGCGTGGCGCACATCAGCCAGGGCCAGCTGGGTTCTCGTGCTATAATCATCGTCTCTGCGGAACACTAGACGGCGCGCATGTATGTCCCTGTGCGCGCGGTGGTGATGGGCGCGTTGTTTGAATGCAGGCACTATGTCGCGGCAATATATATATATATATATATATATATATATATATATATATATATATATATATATATATATATATATATATATATATATATATATATATATAAATATATATATATATATATATATATATATATATATATATATATATATATATATATATATATATATATATATATTGTAAAAAAGAGGATGTACTCCGGCGCAGAGGCAGCAGCATCGAGTGTGCAGCAGCGGCTCGAGCTCGGAAACTACGGCTGGTGCATCGCCTTCCAAGCCTTCCAAGATCGAGAGCAGCAAAAGGCAGGGGAGGGCTCTTCGGGCGACGAATATTGGAGATGGTGTGAAGAAGAACGTGCCAACGGATATGGCGCTGCATGAAACTGGCACGAACGCAAAAGAGCATGGAGGGATGTAGGTGTCATCGCTAACGACAAGTTTAGCGGCAGACTGGGTGTCGACGGACGCTCGGTCATCCAGTGAGCGAAATTCAACCTCAGCCCTAGCACAGTCGATTACGGCGTTATGCCGCGACCCTGAGGTCGCAGATTTGCTCCTCTTTCCACGCTGACCCACAATGTGGCCACGCAGGAGTTTTAAAGACCTACGAAAGGCTTCGACATCGCTACTACTGGCGTGGTATGTACACCTTCGTCCGCAACTTCGTCCGCTCTTGTGCCGAATGTCAGCGCCGAAAATCTCCACCACACGCCTCCGCCGGTGAACTGCAGCCTTTACCATGCCCTTCCCGACCCTTCGAACGGGTTGGAATAGATATTTATGGGCTACTTCTATTGACTCCGACTGGCAACAGGTGGATAATAGTTGCTATCGACCACCTAACGCGCTATGCTGAGACCGCTGCTCTTCAAACGGCTACAGCACAGGAGGTTGCCACTTTCCTACTGCGTCATTTTGTGTTGGGTCATGGAGGCCCTCAAGAACTCCTCAGTGACCGCGGCCGCGCCTTCTTGTCCGAGGTCATTGAAAAATTGCTCGCTGAGTGTGCTATTGTACATCGCACATGTACCGCTTACCACCCTCAAACCAATGGGGCTACCGAGCGCTTTAATCGTACTCTCGGTGACATGCTATCTATGTATGTGAGGCATGACCACTATAACTGGGACTTAGTCCTCCCATTCATTACATACGCCTATAATACGGCAACGCAAGCGACAACAGGCTTCTCCCCTTTTTACCTCCTCTACGGTTGTCACCCCTCCCACACCATTGACACCATTTTGCCCTATCGACTAGACGCGTCCCAGTGCCTACCGATCTTGGACGCCGCCAGACACGCAGAAGAGTGCCGCCAGTTAGCACGTCGCTTTACCTGCGATGACCAAAACAGGCAAAAAGCAATTCATGATGCCCAGACCTCAACTCCCGTTTTTCTTCCGGGTGCTCTTGTATGGCTGTCAGTGCCGCATCGCACACCTGGGCTCTCTTCCAAACTTCTGCCAAAGTACGATGGGCCATATCGTATTCTCGAACAAACTTCGCCAGTAAACTACCTCATTGAGCTTGTTACGCCACCATCAGACTTGCGACGTCGCAACCGCGAGGTTGTACACGTCCAGAGGCTCAAGCAGTACCAAGGTTCAACGCCGCCTGCACAGGACTAAGTCGCCAGGATGGCTCCTTTTTTTCTCCGTGGGGCCATTGTAAAGAAGAGGAAGTACTCCGGCGCAGAGGCAGCAGTATCGAGTGTGCAGCAGCGGCTCTAGCTCGGAAATGCGGCTGGTACATCGCGTTCCAAGCCTTCCAAGCACCACCCTTTCTGCTTAATAAATCTCCTATTAATATATATATATATATATATATATATATATATATATATATATAATATATATATATATATATATATATATATATATATATATATATATGACGTATCAAGTGATGGTTAGTAGAGGTCGAGAAGCAAGAAGTGCAGAACGGAATAAACATGGCGTATGAGCCAGGCCGCGTCTCCCATTCATCATAGTGTCACACGAGTCGACAGGATGAATACCTCCCAGCCACTTCATCAGTGACTCATCATCGACGCATTTCTACACAAGA